TGCGGCTACCGGCAGAAAAATAATACACGGTATATATCGATCACTTCTTCTTTCCACCGGCATCGTGCAAAGTTGAGATCATATAGCGTGCTTGTGTGTACGATTTAAAATGTACGAGAAACAAAGCTGTTCACATCCCCCTGAAGAAGGTATTCTGTCGCGGATCTTGTCTCGACGGCTCGTGTATTTTATTTTCCTTCCCTACAATTTCGTCTTGAAGCGTCGCGCATGGTCGTCATTGCTGTACGCTAATTGTGTCATAAATGTCTTAACATTCGTTCGAACGTTAATCGGAATTTTATCGGGGATCTTCCATGTGTTTATAAGCCGTGTGCAAATTAATACACTTAGCAACTGATTGCAAGACCATCTGCATAGATCATAAGAGTATTCTGATGATAAAAAATTCTGAGAAAAATATATTCTAAAAGGTATATTCTGATATCCCAAAATCGATTGGATTTTTGTAATTTCCTTGTAACTTCTTGACGCACCGGAACGAATTAGAATAACTGTATATTTGTTAGTGGTTCGCATCCACGTAGAGTAAAGAATCATTTTTATAAAGGTTTTAGACACCGCAGGTGAGATCGATTTAAACATATTGGAGAGTTTCTTTTCTCTCTGTCGTCGAAAGTCAGGTCTTTTGTTAGATGAAAATATGACCCATACTTAATTTCTTAGGAGTCCTCCGAAATAAAATTATTACTCGCAATTAATCTCTCGAGAATTTTGTTAAAAATCTTTCAGAAATCTTTTAAGAATTTTCTTTCACGTCAGACTAAGCTTGCTATCAAGTAAGATCAATCGATTGGTCACGCGATGGAGAGTCTAGTTGGATTCATGCGATATTGTCTCTCTTACATATTTTCTTTTTATATATCAATATATTCTGAGATCACCCTGAATTGATAATAGATGTTATGTTACGACTGTCCTGAAAACCAGGCCCAATGATATTATCTAAATCTAGAACAGATGAGGTACTCAATCTTTACTTGCTGCATTGTCCTTAAAAAGTACCCATGGACTTGCGAATATCTGTTCTTTGTAGCTGAACTAGTATACACTAGTATACACTCGATGAATTTGAGGTTTATTTTTTTCTAGTTGAATATCTTATATACACAATTCATTTTTTCTCTTTCTTTTCAACGTTCAGCTAAAAAGAACAGGCCTAAAATAAAGTGCGACCATTTTTCCTACACAGTATCTGAACACGTATGCTGCTTTACAAAAGATAGTGATTGAAGGCAGAAGACGTTGATAGGTTAATTGATTTCAGCGAATGTTATAGGCATTTATGACTTGTCTAGAGTACAATTGTGTAGAAAATAAGAGGAGAACGCGACAGTCCTCCTCTTCTTTTCGTTTAATTCCTCGAAACTACTGATTCGCGAGAAGTGGAGAACTAGCGCTTCTAGATATTAAAATATACATCGCTTCTTTTGTAGATGATCCTTTCTCGAGCTAACTACTTTTTTTTCTTCTTTTTTTTCCTTCCACCCCCCCTATCGCGCGTAGTTCGTTCGGGACGGGGGTCGAGGAGTTGAGAATTAAAAGTAAATCCGTTTGTATTAATGGAACACTTGCAGGTAATCGCAAAATGACGCAATAACGCGATTTCTTTCACCTTTCGACCCAGCGTAGCTGCAGTGACAGGTCAAGTGCTTCAATTTTATTACGTTTTTACTGATTTCGTCTTGTATAATATTAGTTTAACAATGGCAAAGGTATCACTCTTAATCCTCAAGTTCCTCGAGTCGGGCTAATATACAGTAGCGGTACGATAAGCGTTCTGGCACGTTAAATCGGCTGTGAACGCCGTGATCAATTGACGAGACTGTGAGTGAAGGTACATTTGTTGTCTTAAAGTACGATTAACCTGATGAACAAGAAGCTCTCTTTCTCTTCTACGGTATGTCTCTATTCTCTCCCCTTTCGGACATCTTATTTCGCCCTCTCACATTATCGCCGCGTATCATCGCCTTGCGAGCGGCGCGTAATTTTCGCGCATATCTGTTTCTTCTATTTTTTTTTTGGCTAGAGCTCGAGAATTAGCTAAAAAAAATCACAGTGCGCACACACGTTAACCCCTTATTGCAGGAATAATTTTTATAAAAAACAAAAATAATGTTTATTTCATGGAAAGAAGTCGACGTCACACGCGAGAAACTACAATTGGATGAAATTCTAAAGATTTCACTTTTAATTTCGAGATTATAGACATACACTGTTAGAAATGTAACCATGAGTTTCCTTTACATAAATGAAGCTCGTGGTTATGAACGAAATTAAAAGTAATGAATGATTTAATTGAAAATTAAATTACAGTAGTTACTTAAATGTAATGAACGTGTACATTAACTTTCATAAATTTTCATGGAAAATACATTAAATTTAATATAATGTTATAAAATTAAGTTCAAATTGTGTAACTTAAAAGTAGGGGAGAGTGGTCTAAATCGGACCTATTTGCAGTTTCTGCTCTCTATAAGGCGTAAATAAAGTCCGATCGTAAAATCGAAGCTGCCGTTGGAAAGATCATTTAATACCCTTCATTTTTGCTTCAGATTATTTTGACGTATCTCTCATCTGTGTTAAACTATAATGGAAAATGTATAATAAAAACGCTCTTTCCAGTCCGATTTGGAACCATCGGTTCCAAATTGGACCATCCCCTGGTTCAGATCGAAAACTTATTTTTATGGATTTTTAGATAAAATTTTAAAATATTTTAATGTATTTCTCTTAGTATTGAGTAAAAACGAGTAATTTGACAGTCAAAGATAAAAATTTTTT